TTACGCTATTTTTTTATTTTATGAAATTGTATGAGGGGAATTGGACTGGGAGCAGCTCCTTACCAGGGATGTGTCGGACCCATACAAGGAGGGGCTAGTTGTGCGTTGTCGGCTCCTTTTTGGCTGTCTTTGGTTTTAGTTTTCCCTTGCCATCAATAAAAATTCTACTTTTGGGAAGCTGCCCGCGTGCCACACGTCTGTGCTTTCTGCGGTGATGCTGTGCTTGCCACAAGGACTTTGCACCCATTAGCAGTGCTCGAGTGGGTGCGATGCCTTGCTACAACCTTGGTATTTCCCCCCAGGGCTCTTGTGGTCCACTTGTTTTGGGGATTTGGGATTGCACCGCATGCTGCTTTGGGAATAGTGGGGTTTGCATGGAGCAGCTCCGCTCTCCTGGCCTCGGTGCTGCCTGATCTCCCAAGGCTGTGTCGTGGCAAAACAGGAGACAGCGCTCAGCTCCTGGTGCTCCAGCTTTTTCTGATTCTGGAATTTGGTGCTTGTGGGGGAAGACTATAGTGCTCTCACTGAGTAGGAGAGGGGACACTGAGCTGAGCTGCACTCCTCACTCAGAAGCACTTTGCAGGAGTTGGTGGCAATGCCCTGCCTCTGGGTGCTGCCCTCTTCACCACAGGAGCCCAGTTACCAGCGAGGGGAACAAGTTGGGCTGCGATCACCATCGGCCAGGCAGGGATGCAGGCAGGCTCCCTTTGTCCCAGGGCTGGAAAAGCTTCTATTGTCCCATGCCAAAGAACTCTTGTACGGTGTTTGAGGAGCCTCTGGGGAGGGACAGGGCCCTCGCTGCTCCCTGCCCCCGCTGCTCCCTGCCATTGCTGGGGGCTGGAGAAGGGGTCAGTGCTGGTGTGGGAGCACTGCTTCTCCCAGGCTGGGGAAAGGCAGCAGGTTAAGCAGTGAGCGGAGCTGGGATAGTGATAGAACACCCCTGAGGAGCTGGAGCTCAACCCTCTGTGGCCAGGGAGCTGAAATCAGGGCTGTGCCCTGTGCTGGTGTGGGGATGGGAGCTGCATCCTCAGCCAGAGCAAGGAACTCGCCATCCCCATGGCCCAGGAAGGTGATGTGAGCCGGTGGGAGTGGTAAGGAACAGCTCAAACCCACTCGATACCCACCCATCCCCAGGCGCTTCCCCTCCCGCAACCCCACAAGCGGGATCAGCCCTGGAATTTCCCCTGGATGCTGCCCCTGGGATGATCCTTTCTCCCCATGGAGATGGGGCCGAGGCTGCACCATCTGCTCGAGTGACCAACTTTATTACACAGCCAAGAACCGCACGCAGCGAGGGGGGATTCAGGGCTGTGGCTCTCGTGCAGGCGCTGCCTCAGCTTTGCTTTTCAGCCTCTTCTTTCTGTTTCTCTCCTTCCTCCTCCTCTTCCCGCTGGCAGTGGGGACCTGGGATGGGGGGGCCGCGGACAGCTCCCTGCCCAAGCCCTCCCACGCTGGGGCATCATTCAGGATGGCGTTGGCTACTTCCCCGGAGTCTGGCAGCAGGGCCCGAGGGTCCTGCCCAGTGGGGGCAGCAGCTGTGGGATGGCTCGGCTCCCGATTTTCAGAAGGGCCTTTCTTTTTCAGACCTTTCCCCTTCTTTTTCTTGTCTTTCTTCTTCCCCTTCCTCTCTTTCTTGGCTGCCCTGGGTGGGGACAGTGGGCGAGCAAGCACGTGATGTTCCACTGGGATGGCTCCTCTGCCTGTGCTGCTCCACGGGGGGCTCAGAGGGTCCCCCTCAGGCCTCGCTGCCCGGTCGATGAGTTCCCCACCGAACTCGTACAGCACCGGCTCCCTGGGCACTGCGATGGCCACTGTGTTGTACGCCTTGCACCTGCAGAGAGTACAAAGGCGTGGGGTGAGGCAAGCCCCGGCATGGCCGGGTGGGGGGATGGTCCCCACAGTGGGGGGCACTCACCAGATGTAGAGGTAGGGCTCCACGCACTCCTCCTTGTAGGCGAACTCGAAGCAGGGCACCTGAATGACGTTGAAGAAGGCCTGGCCCACCACCCGCGAGGCCGTGTCGTTGACCTGCCGCAGGCACTCCTTCAACCTGCCGCGGGGCAGAGCCGGGGTGAGGGGGGGGCTGCTGCAGAGCCTGGGACCCCCCAGGGTGGAGGGATGCTGCGGGGCACAGCCGGGTGTGGGGCTGCTCACCTGCGGTCGCAGTCGCAGTGGCTGATGGTGTGCCAGCGCAGGTTACGGTACCCATAGCGGGCGGTGAAGGGGTGGATGACGTGCTGGCAGTGGTCATGGTCCCGGCAGCACCGGTCCGTGTCCCGGTGCTCCCCTGCAGGGAAGGCATGGGGTTCAGGCAGGGCTGCAGACAGGGCTGGGGGGCCCCACACACATGGGCTGGGGCCAGATGGGACTGGGATCAGGGCTGGACTGGGCAAGGATTGGGATCAGAATTAGATTGGACTGAGACAGAACTGGAATCATACTGGGATGAGTAGGTGCTGGGACTGAACTGGTACTTGGATGGGGACAAGGCTGGCACTGGGATGCAGACTGGGGCTGCACCAGCACCACAGTGGAGATGAGACTGGGATTAGGCTGGGATCAAGATAGGGACCAGGACTGGACCAGGACCAAGAGAGGGACTAGGCTGGGATCAGGATGGGGACTGGGACTGGACCAGGATGGAACAGCACTGGGATGGGGACCAGCACAGGACCAGGGTGGACCAGGGATCAGGCTGGGACAGAGGGAGGATCAGGACTAGACCAGCACCAGGATGGGGACTAAGCAGAGGTGAACTGGGCGTGGACTGGCACTGGGGTGGGGACTGAACTGGGACAGACAGGGATTGGACTGGCACTGGGGTGGGGGGACTGGAGTGGACCGGCACTGCGATGAGACTGGGCTAGGATTGATGGGGTTTGACCCAGCAGTGGGATGGGACTGGGCTGGGGTGGAGCAGCACCTGGCTGGGGATGGGATGGGATGGGATGGGATGGGATGGGATGGGATGGGATGGGATAGGATGGGATAGGATGGGACTGGGCTGGGGTGGAGCAGCACCTGGCTGGGGATGGGATGGGATGGGATGGGATGGGATGGGAGGGGACTGGGCTGGGGTGGGGGAGCGCCTGG